TTCAAACTTCACAACAAGGTTAATTACCATGAAACCTCGGACAAGTTCGATAACCGCCATTATCCGACCGTAATTATTGGAGTTATTCCCCTTGGTTTCATTAATGCGATGCATGCGTTCAATGATGTTGAATTGCACTCATTGATCTACCAGTTATGTTGAATGATTTCTCTTTTAATATCGATTACTCACAAATACTTCATATATTTCAATCATACAAACAACTGCTCATTCAATGTGTGACGGGCGTATTATATATCGCTCGCGGTAACCTTGTTTCATATTATTCCTGACAAGTGATTGGCCAGAGGTGCATTACGTTCCCTCTGATGAAATCTTATATTGACTTGGAGCGCATGATTTTTGTTGAAGGACTGGGCGTTTCTAAAAATAGCATTACGACGTGTCTCCAAGTGAACGCATCGTTTCATACTTGCCAACTTTTTGAAATTACCATAGAGGAGACTACACATTCTCAGAATTAAAAGCATAGATAAAATGAGTATGTACACCATAGAGAAAAATTAACACTTTTAAATGGCATTGTCTGAGATGTTCTTTTAGATGAAATCATCAAATATTTGAAATTAGGAATAGCACAACAAATGAACTGGTTAAAAATGCTAAATTTTAGGGCCAAGAATCGGAAGTCTCCGTCCTACAAATAGGGAGAGTTGGCAAGAATGACTTTTTGTCTAGTCTGACTCATCTCTGGTACTGAAGGCCAAAATAACAATAATTCATTTACAACGTGTTTCAAAAACATGTGTAGAAATAAGGCTTAAAAGGAAAGTTGTATATAATACTTTTATACATAACACTACAAATTAACAACGTTCTGTTTCAACAGATGGTTTATTTACAACTAGTATTTCATGTTTACAATACATGTTAACGATACATGTTATGTTCCAAAACAAATTCCAGATGCCATGTTACAGTATGGCAACCCCTAGAACTGATAGTTCAGTGGAACAGTCAGTCACCTAATTGTGTTGTAAAACAATCACTAGAAATTCATGAATACACAGTAAACAATCATCTATTTGAATGCTTACAAATAAATAGTTAATCATAATGAGTTTAATTTAAAAGCTTTGCTATGATATTAAATCTGTACCATGCATCCATTGAACTTAAATCTTATCTTTTATTTACTTTAATGTTGAAAATGAAATTTTCACAACAAAACTCCTATTCAGAGATATGTAAGGATGTTAAAAAAGGGCAAAACATCAGGGACAACTTTCAATGACTAAAAGTTATATCCAGTAAGCCAAACAGGCAAAGATTTTAAAATTATATAGTTTGTGCTAAATGGGTTTTTTTTCTGTGCAACTTCAGTATTTTATATCGGTTTATTTCGAGAACATTTTATTTATTTATTCTACAATGCTTTCAGTTGACCCTTCAGGAAAATCACCTTCCACCGAAATTTGAAAGGTCAAAAGAAATGAAAAAATAATACCTCAGCATGTATTTGTTAGAGTGATTTGATTAATTGATGGCTGGGTTGACAGATTTTACTTTTGTTTTCTTTTTTTGACCTCCTGACTCAGGTCCAGAAAAAGTTAAAAACCTATACAAGTACCTCCTCAAAGTAATAGTTACAAGGATGTGTTTCGAATATTTTATTTATTTATTCTACAAAGCTTTCAATAGACCCTGCAGGAAAATCACCTTTCACCGAAATTTGAAGGGTCAAAAGGAATGAAAAAATAATACCTCAGCATGTGTTTTCACACCCAATTGAAGAGTCAAAGGAGTCACATACAATGTAAATACTCTCAATGGTCTACTGAAACCCTGATCTAGATTAGAAGTATAAAACATACAGGTAACACCATTATTGAAGGACATTGTTAAAAGATGTTTTCAATATGTAGCTTCCAGGTAGTATAGGTACATGTATACATATATATATATATGTATATAACAGTTAGACTGAATACATTATCTCAAACATATAAACACTTATCACATAATCGGCCTGTTATCGAGTGAATTCGCCCGTGTAACATATGTTACTAGTGTAATATACCCTGGAGCGTTTTTCATTGGCTGTGCCAGTGAGAAATCGAGTGTGACGTCTTAATATGGACAATGACCAGATGTCATAAATTGTGAATGGCGCAACAAAATGGCTGTCTCCGTTTGATTAAGCTAGCCCTCTACACTTTGGCTTTAAAACCTGTCAAAATATAAGTTTTCTGAGTTCTGTGATAAAAGTATCTTAAAACTCGTCTCAAAGTTTTTGCCAAGGCTCGCAAAAATAAACACTCCTAAGACTCGTTCATAAAACCTCATGAAATGAAAACTCATTTGAGATCCTATACATATACAAAGAAATTATTTAACAAGTTACAGTATATTGTGTGTATGGTATATAAATACTATTTAAAACATAGACAGTAGATCTCTTTACTTTCCATGTACCAAAGACGTATATAACAGAGCTTAAATCATCGTAATATTACTTTAACCATGCCATTCACGAGAAGATGTATTTTATGATTTATTTTTTATTTCATGAAATAAACCATTTTATCATTTTGAACTTTTGCCTCTGCTTATTTTCCTGAAAAAGCAACTATTTTGTACCTCTTTTATTTCCTGTAAGCAGAGAATTGTTAGAGTGATTTGATTGATTGATGGCTGGGTTGACAGATTTTTACTTCTGTTTTCTTTTTTTGACCTCCTGACCTGGGTCCAGAAAAGTTAAAAACAATTTTAGTATACAAGTATCTCCTCAAAGTAATAGTTTCAAGGATGTGTTTCAAATTTTGTACACAAGGATCCAACACCATTGTGTTTTTTATGTGTATATATATGGAAATTTCCCTTAAATTTCACTTTTGGTTTATCTGTAGCACAGTTGGGCCAGTAAACTTCTATTGACTAAGAAACTCGGTCTGTTAGAGCGACAGTATTACAATCTGAAGTCCGGGGTTGGAATCCCACTAATTGTTTTCTCATCCACAACAACATTGTTGACTTTATCTTGTTTATTATATTTTTATTATTTTTTCAAAAAATCCAAAAGGTATTTTTTTCTTTTCATAAATTATTTTTCAGATGGAAAAATAAGTTCCTGATGCTTAGTTATGGTTTTTGGCTCATGTTCAAGCTTAACACAAAATGCTAATCTAAATATAAAATCGGTATATGTACATGGTGTTACATGTTTCCTAAAAATATAAATCAACAATCACAAATAAATGTATATACTTACATTGTGTGAAAATTATGATTATTTACACAAAACACCTTCAATGACATTATAACTTATATAACTCCAAAAATAAACACAAACAAAAGATATTTGAAATTACAAACTATTTACCTTGAACTGTATAAACATAGACATCTACATGTATAGGGTTAATTTGTAAACTCGAATGTAATGATTAGACAAACACAATGAAGTATATACAAAACATTAATTAAAACTATAAAAAATATATTTATCAATGGCAATATATAAACAAAGGAATGCTTCATATGGAGACCCTTAATAAAAGTACAATAGGTTTATTACCAGAGCCTGTATTCATGAAACCGTTCTCATGCTCAAGCATGGATTTTGTGCTCAAACCAACTTTCTTATGAATCACTTGAATCATTTCAAACGATCAAAAAGTCAAATGTTAAATATCGAAAACAGTTTTCGGATTTAAGTATATTCTTAATGTTTTTTCCAAATCATTGACGACAAAACCATTTTTTAAAGAAATACGGATTGAGCACAAAATCCATACTTTAGCATGATAACGGTTTCACGAATACGGCCCAGGTGTTCTGAAAAAGTTGGCGTATTCTACTTATCGATAACACCCGCCATGTAAATCTAGACCTTCAACCTATGTAAAGTCACATCCTCAAAATAATAACCAGAATACAAGTTAATGAGCATAAAAAAGTCACACAAAGAAGTCAAAAACTTTTCCAACACGATTATGATGGCAACTTATTATTCTATGAAAATTAAATGAAGAAAGCACGGGACACTGAAATAACACAAACGGGACTGAAGATTCATCAAGATATCTTTAACCAAAAAACAAGAGCCCCACGTGGCCTGTATCGCTCACCTTGATATGTTTTAAGCATTTGATACGAGGTAAAGATATAGTACTCCATGGTAGGTACTCTATGTACTCTATGAAAATAAAGAAAAATCCATCCAGTATTTCTGGAGATATTGCGAGAACAAACTTCTAATGTAAAAGTCCAAGATGGCGGCCTGGTGGCCATCTTCTTTTAATGAATACACCCTAATAGGGGGCCACACCCACTGTTTATACAAAACTGAGTCCCCTAGGCCCAAAGATGCTTCAGACAAAAATAGGATAAAATCCCTTTATCCCTACGGAAGAAGAAGGATTTAGAAATTTTACCTCTATTTCCCCTATTGAGACCTCTCCTCTGCCCGTAGGGGGGCATCTCCATCGTTTATACAAAAAAGAGTGCATTTAGTCTTAAAATGCTCCAGGCCAAATTGGAATGAAATCCCTTTATCCTATGATAGAAGAAGGATTTTAAAGGTTTACCTCTATTGTCTCTATTCGGCCCCACCCCTAGGCCTCTACCCCTAGGCTGTCCACATCCACTGTTTATACAACCAACCGATTATACAAAATTGAGTCCCCTTGGACCAAGGATGCTTCAGACTAAAATACGATAAAACCCATTTATCCTTACGATAGGAGAAGGAATTTAAAAGTTTTACCTTTATTTCCCCTATTGGGTCCCTCTCATCTGCCCCTGGGGTTAGTCACACCACCGTTTATACAAAATTGAGCCCCCTTGGACCAACGATGCTCCAGACTTAATAAGGACAAAGTCCCTTAATCCCTATGATCAAAGAAGGATTTAAAGGTTTTACCTCTATTTCCCCTATTAGACTCCACTTCTCTGCCTCCAGGGGGACATTCCCTACGTTTAGACAAAATTGAGGGCCTTTAGCCCAAGGATGTTACAGACTAAATTTAGTTAATATCCACTAAGCTGTTCAGGACAAGTAGCGTTTTAAAGGAAAAATTGACGGACGACGGACTTGCCCTTCGGTCAGGTGAGTTCAAAAGTGACGGACCTGAATAAGTTTGACTGAAAAGATGGCACACATTTGGCCTTTGATCTAGACACCTGATGACAATGCAATGCATGTCGTCTGTCGGTGATGTAGGCATACTGCATGCTTCATCAAGACATTTGTAATGGTTTAAACATTACCGCCCTATCCCACTGCACTGTTGTTGTTTGTGTATACGGTCACCTCCCCTCAATTCTGTTCAGGATATAACTGTAGTACAGGCTGACTAGAGTACGTACTTCTGTTGACTAGGTAACTGTTGGGGGGTTAGGGGGAACAGTGAAACAGTCTGGAGTCAAGGGTCAGATCCTGAAAAATTATGGTAGGGTTGGTGGATTCTTAAATTCATGTAACAGATTAACACCAAATACTAATCAAAATATAAAATCAGTCTATGTACACGGTGGTTCATGTTTCCTAAAAATATAAATCAATAATCACAAATAAAGTAATATACTTGCACTGTGTGAGAATTATAATTATTTACACAAAACACATTAAATGACATTATAACCTACTTCAAAATGACTCGATCATTTAAAATTTAACAAAAAACACCCATTTGAAACTAAACATATTTTCTATTGAATTGTAGATACTTAGTAAATGATTAAGTGTCTAGGAGCCTTATCTGTGCTTTAGTATTCCGATTGCAAAATGATTAATGAGGCATTCTGTGTTGTTGTACTATATGCCAGAATTGTAGTTTGGCATTTTCTGTGAAATATCACACATTACAGTAGGTTCATCGTCATATTGATTGAAGAATGTCACAAATTTCGATTAGAACCACTTTATAGTATAAATGTCTTTAGTTTATCTCAAACGCAAATGCCAAGAGCTTGGTTTATGATTATGTCAACGTTTTAAAGGTGCAAATAAAAGACTTTTTTTATTTATTCATATGAATCAAAATGTTTTATACGCTTCTAACGTGATTGCTTTACTTTGTATTTCTTATTTAGTACAAACACAAGTATAATGTATCACGACTATAGGTGATAGTTAAACCAAAAATAAAATCTCAAACAACTGCTCAAAACCGTAAGTTAAACTGAAATCTTTAATAGAGGTAATCACTGGCTACCAGTCGTATTGACTGTTGCGACTGCAGTTACAGGGAAGAAACGCTAATCCAAACATTATGTGTTATTTTAGATAAATTTGAGATAGATTAATATCTGTTTTACTCAGAGGAAAAATAACATCAGCTCTTCTTTCCTATTACTAGGATAAAAATGTTTTGACGATATTTGATGTTCTCCAATGTCACTAAATCCTTGTTTTTACAATCAGGCTCAAAGCTCGATCGAACAAATTGTAAACGTCCTCCTGCGTCCTTGTCTTCAGTACATTTGCTGAAATTTAAGACAAAAGAATGAATACTGTTGATCCACATACAATGTATATACATAATAAAAGTTCAACATCGTTAAATGTTAGCTGTACAATCTGATTTTTATGGACTTTGTCGTTTTTAAGCAATCATGAAGATTTTGCAATAAATACAACATATACGGTAGTAAGTGGCTAACAAACCACATTGCTGACCATACAATGATCATCGCCCAATCAACACTAACAATTAAACTAAGTTCCATTTTCTCGAATGGTCAACCAGCGAGCGAAATCCTTGACCGACTGGTTCAGATAAAGACAATCTTCCCAATCCCTTGAAGAAACTAGAGAGGCCTGATGTGAAGTCTTCCTAAGGGAACCACATCTGCCAGGGCGTTAAGATAACACCAGAAAACTGAGAAGCCAACGCATCTGAACCTGAGACCTGCCGATGAAGGTCAGGGCAAAATCAGTCGACTTCACAAACTTGGGAAACCTCCGAAAAACCAAAGGTGCAGTCGTGAGCCCGAACGGCATGGTCCGGAACTGGAAGACCTTTTCGTTGCGTCATTTTTATTTGCCACCTCACTTACCACCAGGATATTTCAAGGACTGTTAAATGTGTAGAAACATCTATGTGAAGTGATTGTTAAGAAATTAACTAAGTCCAATTAAGCTGTTTTTGGACGCTAAAATATGAAAATATGGTTCATCACATTGCTCACACTCAATACAATTACTTCAACCTTATAATAGACAACAGCCTATTGACGGTGGTGGTCCAACACTACCCAACAAAACGTGCGCAAAAACTTGAACCTCAAATTTAACTAAGTCCAACTTAGCTGTTTTTGGGCCATGAAATATGAAAATATGGTCCAGCACATTGCTTACACTCGATATAAATGCCTTAAACTCATAATAGACAACTGTGTATTGAGTGTGATGATCCAACACTGTCTGAAAAAAACTTGCCCAAAAACTTTAACCTCAAATTTAACTAAGTCCAATTAAGGTGTTTTTGGGCCATAAAATATGAAAATATTGCCCAGAACATTGCTAACACTGCATATAAATGCTTCAACCTTATAATAGACAAAAACGTATTGATGGTGGTTGTCCAACACTTCACAAAAAAACTTTCCCATAAACTTTAAACTGAAATTTAACTAAGTCCAATTAAATTGTTTTTGGGCCATAAAATATGAAAATATGGTCCAGCACATTGCTTATACTCGATATAAATGACTTAAACTCATAATAGACAACTGTGTATTGATTGTGATGATCCAACACTGTCTAGAAAAAAAATGCACCAAAACTGTAACCTCGGAGGGTGGGACGCCGACGCCGACGCCGACGCCGGGGTGACTACATTAGCCCCCCTATTCTTCGAATAGGCGAGCTAAAAAGTGTTCAATAAATTGATGATGAAATTCATGTCTCCATGTAAGCTGCATTTCATTTGACCCAATTTCCACGGGGGAACGGTGACACGAGAATATTTTGAGAACCCCTTACACCTGGAATCTTTTAAATCCAACATTTAACTAGATAACCATATTAACAATTGTGCGGTTGATGAAACAAATTCTGTATATTGAGACTACGTCAATTGGTCATAGCAAGAGTTCACTTTTGATCCCAGTGCTGTAACTATGTAATTAATTGCTGAGCATGAAAAGATGCATTCTCTCATGATTTGCCACTGAAAGTGGATAATATACCGGAGTAGGGTGCCTTTACATACCATATTTGCGTTGGCATTCTGCATTTTTCCTCTTTAATTGTTCCACAAAAGATGCATGCAATGACATTTTAACACCTTTTTCATTAACGAACTTGGTTGTGTATTTAACACCTAGCAGGTTCAACAAATGTGTTTGAACAGACTTTAATTTTCAGACCAGCACTCTGATCGGTAGGAAGTAGCATGGAAATGGTTAAGATCTAACTAGATAACACTATATATAATTGCGCGCTCGAGGAAACAAATGCGACACTGCTTTCAGATTTGACCACACGGTAAGGCTCTGTCCATTGATACTTAGTCAATTGGTCATAGCAATAACTGACTCTGGATCCCAGTGCTGTATCTATATATACATTAATTGCTGAGCATGAAGAGTTGAATTCTCACATGATTCAACATACATGTTTGAACAGATTATTATTTTCAAACTGGCACTAATCGGTAGGAAATAAATAATGTCTTGCAACTGGTAATCAAAACAAAAATATTTTTGCTAAAATAAAAGATACGAAAAAACTTTACTTATGAATAATGTATGCTGTCGAATTCAGGAATTAAGGCAAATCATAATACACCTAATTAACATGGTATATGATATGACCGCCATGCTCAAATTGTCAGTTCATCCAATTGAAACGATAATACCCATGCCTTTGCGTACCCATTTGTCGTTCCAAATCCTCATTCTTCTTGTGCATGTCGGTCAGTTGACCTTTCAACTCCTCACGGGTTGCTACTGCTCAAGAAACAATAACATTTTTTACTATTTGTATTTATTTGATAACACGAATATACATTAACCCGCCTATTTTTTAATGTTTTTTTTATATTTATTTGAATTTACTAGTCTTTCCGACACATATACATAAGTGACTGAGCTTGATTGATTTTGATAAGTTATTTTACGAATTTTAAAACGTAAACGATTATATTCAGATAACCAGTGAGATATTGCACCAACCTTTTGTAAGATCTATGTAAGTCTTTACAACACGTAACAAAATTAAGTCAACATTGTTTTGCACTTTTTACACTCTGCGTAAGGTATTAACGGAAATTTGATAAAAATAAAAAAGAATGCTAGTTTTATCCTGCTGAAAAGAAAATAGAGTGAAGGTTCGCGGCAAGCTACTTTGAAATATAAGGGCAAAGATGACGACGGACGGACGCTGCGCCAGTATATAACCCCTTTAGCACGTAGTGCCAGGTTATCTGAAATTAAATGTTGTTGTTTTTTCCTTCATTTTACTCTATTTGAAATAAATTTTATTTGTTGAACTACAGACATTAATGTATTCGTACTTCTAGTAATTATGTTCGGGAAAAAATGCGTAAAATGTATACCACATTCATCCAATCATTTGATGAGTAATACTAACGCATGCTATCTTGAGTTACTGTTAAAGAATATAAGGTTGCTATAGAAATAATACTTACTTCCTGGTATACTGTCTTGTATCGCTTTAATTTCTTTCGTGGCTTTGACAATAATATCTTTGGCCCTCACGTCAATGTTTTTTACAGCTTCAAGTAATTTTTCATAGTTTCCAAGGCTTACTACAGCAAACATTTGCAATAACAAAAAGACATCTGTGAAGCTTTCAGAGTGTTGGTCCACTCTTGGATGTTGGAAGTTCGCATCTATGTTCATGAGGAAGCTTTTCCATTCATCATTTCTCATTTTTGGATATATGTGACACTTAAGAGCACACACCATGTCTGCCTCAATTAACTTCATTTTTCTTTGTTTATCAGAACAGAGGACTTTTTCCTGTGCCGCATGGTTGTTGCTTGCTTCCTTGTATGACTTTGGAAGGGAATTATCTGTCTATAAAACGCATGTTTATTTTAGTGTACATCTTAAATCATTGAAAATATACCCATTACTATGATTATAATTTATAAACAGTCGTGCCGGGAAAAAGTAAGATTAGGTACAGTTGTTTCGTTTCTTGAAAGACATCTTTAATATTAGAATGTATACGTAGTATTAGGCAAAACTAGAAAGTTTACAGAAGACGTGAGAAGAGCATTGAAAAATATAAAGACAACAAAGCAGAATGATTTGGTCAGATTTCTAAATTACGCCAATAGATTTTAGTTTAAAGCGTTGTGGAAGGTATTCATAATTATGACATTATTTTTTCTGTATTGTGTTTAATACTTCCACTAGAACAAGGTATTCTTTTCTTTCAATGCAATTTTATTCGTTTTAAATGATAATAAAAAGAATGAAAATGTTACATTCAAGAAATGTCTGCTAAACTTCAAAGTGAAGAATTCTTAGAGAAGACCAAAAATTTGCGAAAATAGATAAAACCTAATAACATCGTCCCGAGGATGATCCGTTATAAATTGAGTGAAAAGCTCTTCTGACGCTCTATACTAGTAGTCTTTCGAATATTGACATCGGACGTAGCTCCAATGCATAAAATCGGTACCTTGTATTTCAATATAATAAAGTAAAATGTATTAGTATTTATTTATGTTATTAAGGCGTTAATACTTAAGCTTCTTAGTCAACACACAAGTACATTTTGTAACACAAGGAATCAAACAAGTTCAGATTGGTCCAAGTGTGATATTATAATTCTAAATAGGTAATAAGAATTTTCTAATATTGAAAATTATGATATCAAAGGTAATTACACAGCATGAATATATGACAACTGGGCACATTTTAGAATTCCATTATAATGAGCATACATTAAAACTTTGATGCCGCTTCTTAACGCCTTTCCTAAAATATGCCTATGTCCGAAACTTTTAGATACCAGAAAGCAGTACAATTTAACTGACGTAATAACTCCCCCACATGTTTTGGAAGAAAACAGTTCAATTGAGTTTACACACTGATAAAGTCAAAAGTATCTTCGATAAATTTTGTCTTAGAATCAACTTAAAGTCCTGCATGATGCTTCCAAGAAATATTTATGCTAAACCGTCAACAGTAGACGGACCTGTCAATCTGGAAACTGCAGTACACAATAATTTGTATGTTAACTCTCAAAAACTATAACTTCCTAATACCAAACAAGAAGTATAGGATTCTCTCTTGCGTGTTAAGCTCAGTAAAGCGTCTGGTATTAATTATATAATGATATCAAAATGTTTTCCAAACTTTTCATACACATTGTTTTTATTTTAATAAAGTTCCAGATATCTGGGAAATATACCAATAAATTTGAAGAACAAGAATAAATACTCAAGCTTATGGTTTGAAGAATATTTTAACTTACATTATTCTGTCCGTGAACATAGTAAATTGGCTAATAGAACATAAACAGCATTATTTGTAAATGAAAGTACTTGTATGCTGGTGAAACGATTCATAATGGGTTTTTTTTTGTAAAACAAACGACCTATATCGTTGTTTTGTAATCTATACATTTCTTTGATTTAATAGCATCTGTAATTTGGCTATGGAATTAAGGTATAAATAAGTACCAAGAAGAGTCCATGATTCAGTTAAAAGTCTGAAGATATTTTTGCGTTCATCACGGAAAGCTAGAAGATTATCATTAAGAGGTGATAAGGGATGAAATTCCTGTAATGTCAACCGGACGATGGATTATTTATCACAAATATAGAAACTTATGTAAACTTACTGCGTGAAAATATATAGGTGTAGGTTTAGTCTGTATCCGTCTTCTTTGTTTTAACCGTTCAATATCTGATGTAGGCATGTTTTAGTGTAAGTATACATTGGAATGCATCATTATAAATGTTTTGTCTATTTCTTATATATTTCATTGCACATGTGATAAAACCGCCAACGTTTCCTGCTTATACGATACAAAATTGGAATTATGAAACAAACTTTAAAATGCGGTTGTAGAATTGTTTTATTCTCTGGGTGTGCCACACTGGTGCATGACCTACATAATCGCTGGCTTCTCTACCTGCGCAGGCCTTAGTGGCCAAGTTTACATTCAAAGCTTGGTTTGCTTAACGATTTAATTGAGGAAGGGGTATTATACATTCAAAATAATCGAAATACAAAAATAGAGTTGTATGTTTTACATTTTGAAATACGTAAGACAAGAAATATTTAAGTATTTGTGTATAATAAAAGAGTGTTCTCAAAGTCGCAGTTTGAACATTTGTCTAATGTTATCAAGCTTTCAACAGTTCAACAACCGGACCCTGCTTCCCTGCTACACTGCGTATGAATATATAACTTTGAAAAAAAGAGTATCGCCTGCATGTTATAGAAATATGTTATGATATTTCGCGATTGAAAATAACTGATTTGACATTGAGCAATTTAGTAGGCATACAGTATTGAAATTGGGATTTTATTACAAACTATTCTCGAGTTTGTGCCGTGTTTCCATCCCATCGAGCTCGCACGACGCCTATAGGGAGTCGGATGAAATCCGAACCCCCTCCCCCCCCCCAACCCAACCCAACCCAACCCAAATAATACACCTGTTGTTACACACTGCATTAAGTAGGCAACTAATGTTCGAGTCGCTTCAGAAATTAGGATATGCGTTTTTGCAATATACTTTGGGATACAAAAGCGATCAAAATAAATATGCTGCAGCCATTGTAACAGTTTGGATCTTTTGTCATTTCTCTCTACTTCTAACTACATTTTTGTTTCTTAGCGCCTTGCATGGAAACACATTTAGCTTTAATGTTGAACGTTCACCCAGGTGAGGAAGGCAATGGGTTCTGGATAATTACAAATTTGTCCCGAACGAAGAAAAATAGATAAATAATAACTAGTTTATTAGTTTGTCACTTGCCTTATAAGAGTATAGCGGGAGAGTGGGTAAGTGACAAATTACAAGTACTATTATAAGCTGTACATAAAACAAATGTGTTGTATCAAGAACCCTTGATCCAACACGAAGGAACTATGCGTGATCGTGACACTATTCAATCACGACTTTATGATCAATCAATATTGACGTCACGAGAATCACCAAGTGACTGTGCTCGGTCAATTAATGAATATGATTCTTGTCTCAGGTATGATGCCATGATATCTACTTAGATTTTCATGATTCTTAACTTTTTGAACCGCCTTACTCACAAATTAAAATTCGCAACTAGGGTCACCATCAGCAAAACGAAGAAAAGAAACCTCTCTATATAAATCTCCACGGGGAGATGATTAACTATTTGAGGTTGGTAACTATTTTCTTTAGTCTGTATATCTGTCATTTTGACTTACTTTCGAAAATGTACCCAAAAGGTATCTTTACGTGGGATGCCGTTAATGCTCTTGCTGATGTTTAGCTTTGAGTACGCATATTTAATATGGGATATTGTTAATGCTCTTTGGCATTTAAATGCTTTGTATTGACATGTTTCTGAAGTGGCATCAGAGTTTACATGATGTGCCCTAACACTTTGTACGTAAACTTATCTAGATTTATTGTACGCTAATTAGAAAAAGTTTCCAGTGGGAACTTTATCCTGGATTATTGTTTATGCTTTCATGTGTGTAAATGACTTGGTCATGGAAATATTCTTTTCGTATCGAGAAACTAAAAGTGAAACTAGTCCAATATTGGACTTACCTCGTATTAAGGTTGCCCACTTTTTCGGGACAAATATTGAACTGTAACCAACTTGAGGAAATCCACCATTTCGCAATAAACTAGCGTTATTTGTTGAAACCTTTACATAATAGTTATGCAACCATGTTATCTAGGCATTCCGATAGACCGGAGATTTGTTTGGAAAAAATACCCCAAAAAATGAATTTTTGTCAATTTTAATATTTTCCATTTTTTGGTGTGTGGCATTGTTCAAAACAATAACAACAATAAAAAAATGAAAAGAAGCATTACTTATTAACCTGAATTATTTTATTTATCACAAAATATATAGAACACGTTAAATAAAATGTTTTTTTTTTTTAAATTGTATGGATAAAAATGATAATCTACCAGCTAAAAGCAAACAGGACACAAAGGTTTCTAACAAAAAATTGAAATAAAAATAAATCAACAAAATATTCACAATGGCTATACAATTAATTGATTTTACATTGCACACACACATTGATCAGAGGGATACAAATAACACAATGACAGTTATTTCTTTAAACAGATAAAAAAAGCAATATAGTCTCCCACCCGTATTGCTTTCTTTATTGGCTGAGCTGTACAGTTATTTAAGTATATAGGTCTGTCACATACTCCCTGTACTCCCTCTCAATGCCAAAACATACTTGCAAACCAAATCTTGTTAACCCAGAAGAACGAGTTATGCTGAAATCGTCCTAGTAGTAAAGGAAAAAATGTCAGAACAAAGATTTTTATTAAGGGCCATAACTCCTAAAAAAGGGTCGAAATGAAAAAACACTGGCCATAAATAAATCTTAGACTTCCGAATGCATAATTATATCACTTTTGCAATATCTCCTTAGCGCCAATTAAACATATATTTCCTACAGACCATCAGCAGTGCACGTGTGTCACAAATGTTCTCATGTCAACTAGGAATTTGCCATGGGTCGTATGTCAGTATACACTTCTTCATACGATAATGTTAATGTTAACACTATGAAACTTAAATCAATTCCCCATAACAAACAAGGAAGAACAAAAAGCTTAATTATTTGTACTACTTATTAACTATAGTGTGATCGCTGTACTCCTCAAGCGAAACACAGATTCAATCAATGCTCTGATGATACAAAATGCAACTGAATACATGTTAATTTCACTGATTGGTGTATTCATTCAGCCTTACTGTAACGAGAAACGACCGGGATTGATTAAATACTGGTTCCCTAGAACATAAGGCAAACACGGTTCAAACAGTATATAATACAATGTATTTACAATGCATAAT